TTCGTGCTAGATTGTTCAAGTTGGGCTCTGGGCTCCAACCAGAAGAGTCACCTAACCGGCAGTTTGGGCTATATCAGGTGCGTTTTTAGATATATGATATGTAACGGCCATTCCGGAGCTCAGGGTTGTCAAGAAAAACAGAACTGTGGACCCCTCGATGGACCAGAATCCAAGGTAAGATGCGACTTTGAAACTTTTACTTTCTCACCAATGGTGCAGGCTGAAGATTTACTGGACACCTTTTTGTTTAGTCACGCCTAGGTGCAGCACCTGGGCATGACTTACGTTTTCTGTCCAGCCTTCCTGGGCGCTGTCATTCTGGTGGCGGTGGCTTGCGTCACCAACAACCTGTCGCCAGACAGGCGCGCAATGCGCAATTTACGGACTGGGATGCCCTGAGATCCATCCCTGCCTTTCCCCTGACATCAACCCGCTTTTGAATTGGGTTGAAGGAAAAACACCTTTGAGATTGGCAAGCATCGCATTTTTCCACTTGCCTCCTCTCGCATGCAGCTTCTCAGCGTCAATGCCGTGTGTCACTGGTTTGGGCAATATCAGGGGCTTAGCAGCTTCATGTGGGCTTGTCTGAATGGTAAGTGTGAACTATTAACTTATGTACAGGGTTGCGCTGAAGAAGAGTCTGCTGTGAAAGTACAAACCGCATCGCGACAGGCTGGTGATTACAACGCAAAAAGGCTGCCAAGACAGCGAACACTCGAAAGGGCTGCACAAAGTAGACAACATTTGCTCGAATTCCATGTTTTCAAGCCTGCTTCGGCCCGCGAAAGGACGGCAGAAGGCCGACGAAGGGAACATGTCCAGGCGACTTTGTTTTGAGCAACCCCTACCTACATCGTTTTCTTGTGATAAAGAAACAATTCTATGTATTTAAGTTGGGCCCCTTATATTCAGGCGGTTCATGCCGGTTTTCAGCATATTGAATCTGTTTAGACTCTCGTGTTTTCAATATTCTGATTCAGTTTTCCCAGTCATTGGGGTTCATGGTCTGGTTGTTTTACTCATTTACATCCTTCAGGATTACCCGACTTGAGCCCCGATGCCATGGCATTGGCTTGAGACTGCCCCGTCCGTTCTCGCGTTGTGAGGCAAAGGTGTCAGTTTGCGTTTTTTGCTATGCACAACATGCGCTGGCAGTCCTGCATGAGGCAAGAGGTAGTGCTCCGATGTGTTGCCAAGCTTGTTGCTGGAACGGCCGTGCGATTCTACGGAGGGTGTTTCCAGACCCAACAGTTTATTTTGACCCAGAGAGGGCTGATCGAAAGACCAACCGCACGTCTCCCACAGCCTGCAACCTTCCAACCAAACAAACCCCACAAATCACCATTTGTTTCTGTGTGGCTAAGGGACATTCGCCATTTTGGAGGTATGGGAAACATTTGCGGTGCGCAATTCAGCTTTCCTCCCAACTTCACTGAGGACCTATCCGCAATACTGGTGGCCTTGGAAGTCAATACGTCTAGAGTCCGACAGCCAGGAGGAGGGGATGGCCAGCGATTTGTTCTTCGTTTTGGTGGGTGAAGATAGGGGGGCCCACGAAAAACGGTCGGCTGAAAATCACTCAGGGAAAAAACAATTCGTGAAAAGGGTAATTTTGGGCCGATTTGGGTTGGTGTCCTGAATAGGGATTTGGACCGGGACCCCCCACCATTTCCTGTTGGCTTCCGTCCAATGCGTTTGTTCTTTTGAGGCTCCATGCTTGGTGTGAAGTGAAGCCAAGCGCAAACCACCCATGCTGGCAGTCTCCCTATTTTGACACAAACCCAAAGACAAGCCCGAAAAGGGTACCAACTTCAAAGAGAGACGCAGGGTGCCAGTTACTTTTGGAGCAGTTGCCATGCCATGGACTCCTTGAAAGGGAAACATCCCGCTAAGGTTAGCACAACTCGAGTTCAGGGTTGCTTGAACAAGAGTCATGGTCGCCCAACCTTGGCATTTCGACAATTTGATATTGCTGACTTTAAGGTTTCCTGGTCCTTTAAGAGTTGTAAGTGAGTGCTCCATAGAGGTGTTCTTGGGATCCTTCAGTCCACAGTCCTTTCAGGTGTGCTTGGCGGAGGAGTGTTTGAGGGGTCGGGTGTGAGTAACGCGGGTTCACTGGATTTTCCCTGAGTGTGTGTTGCAGTGGAGCTCCCACCGGAGGTCCACAAGAGACCGAACTGACGGACCCTTACCAGCCTTACCATGCTCCCCAAGAAGCTCAAAAGCCAAGAATCAAACAAACAAGCAAACAAATAAACAAACAATCAAACAAACAAGCAGACCCAGAGTACTCTGTATTACAGTCAAGCCAAGGGCAGGCCATTTCAAGAACAGGTAGATTTCAACGTGTCCCCATCATTTGCTTTTGGTCAGGAGGCTTCCATCGAGAGCAAAACGCCAAGGTTCGGGAGGCTGCATAGTGCCGTGGCTTGAAGAGACAGGTTTTGTCGCTGGAATACCTTTGGATCGTTTTGTTTCACAAACTTGAGAGTTGTGTTGGGACTTGTTTGATTTAGTTTATGCTCATTTCGGCGCTTTGTTCGACGAGGACAACACATGACACAAATGACAGCATCCCCGGGAGCTGTTTAGGAGAAATGGGGCATCCGTTAGTTTATTTAGAGACATGCTCAGGGTCAAATTTGCTGGGCAAAAGCCGTGGGGGGGAGGCGGGGGGGGTGTTGGCAAAAGTTGAATCATTTTGCTCGAGAGGGGAATCCCAGGGAAGGGGAATTAATTGCTTGGGATTTGGCGCAGCAAATCATAGCCTTGAAATGTACTGAGGCCTTCCCCCAAAACGTGGGAGCAGGTTTCTGTGTTCGGAAATGACCCGGAAGGGCAAGCTGTTTGTTCATGCCCCTCTCCCCAAAGAGGAGGGTGAAGAGTTGTTGATTACCTGTAATTACAGTGGGTAGACCAGCAAGAAAGGGGCGCTATTTAAGCAAAACTTAGACCTGGTTAAACATGTTAAACTGTTTGGCTCGGGCTGAAATTCAAAGGACCCTGTTTGCAGCGAGAGGGCCCCCTTTTGTCAAATCTGAGGAGACTCTGGGATGACACCCCTGCCAAACACGTACCCAATGAGGCATGGGATAATGTGGCAGGCGCTTCCTGGGGTTGAGAAAACAACCCTGAAACCAACGGATCCCGTCCTCTTTCAAGCAGAGGGTCCAAGGGGTGCACTTGTTTGTCCCTGAAAAGACCCATCGTTGTATAGCTTTCCGAAGAACAAATCCAATGACCCCCGGACACATTCTTGGTCATCCCAGCTCCAAACTGATCAACCCCGAAAAACACAGTTCTTCCGAAGAGTTATTTGTCCTACCAATTTCGCTCGGCTGAAAACACATGCGATTGGTGTTTCCCCATGGTTGTGACTTGATTTAGCTTTATGCTGCCCCACCCACCCACCCCCACTCTAATTAGCTGAAAGAAAAATGCTCACGCTGTTTCCCCGCAGTTGACTTGATTTAGTTTTCTGCTGCCCCACCCACCCTGTTTCACGCCCCAAGCGGCGCCTTCGCCCTGGAACGGGCGACGCGCGAGGCTTCTTGGCCAAGTTCCGGGGGGATGCGGAGGTGCCGGTGGACGCCTTCCCGCTGCTCCAGCAGAGCCCTGGGCTGAAGATCGATGTCTGCTTCTTCCCCAGGTAGCTCCCCTTTTCGTTGTTTTTCGCTTCTTTGGGGTCTCTTTTTTTTTGGTTTTCCACCAACCAGGCAACAAAAGAAGACTTTTTGCTGGGGTCCTAATTCCGGCCTGGGTTTGGGGAAACCCAGAAATGGCGGGTGGCTCAAGGAAATGTGCCAACAGGACACCTTGGTAAATGGAACCAAAGACTACTAAAGGCTGTGGTTTGCCCTAGTTGTTTCATTTTGAGCCACACCGAAATCATGGTGGTTACCATGTACAGACAAACTCAGCTTCCCTTTTTGGGTAGGTTTAAACTCTCTTTCCAACATGGAAGTGCACAGGGTGCTGGAATCAGCTGAAAAGGCCCTGCCACGAGTCTTGGGAACATGGCTGGCATCTAGAACCACCCGATTCATTACCTACCTGATTACGGCTAGATTCCGACCATGTCCCCCTCCTGGCCGTTTGAGATCAAAACAGGAATCAACATCTCCGCGTGTGCTAGATTGAATATGCGTGTGCGTGCGCTGAGGTCTTGTGTTTCTGCGTCTGTGATTTGCTAAGGCAACTTGTGGCAACACAGATTATCTGTTTCTGGAATCAAAGCCGAATATTTTGGCTCTTTCCTCCTTTTGTTGCTGGAATCAAAGTCGCATATATACATAGATAGTTTTCCTCTTTCCACCTGTTGGCTTCTGAAGTCTTTGGCCCAGACCCTGGGCGAAGAAGCGGCCCCAAAAAACGGCGGACCAGTCGAGGAGCTGGTGCAGCTTCCTGGGCTCCTTCCTGGGCATCGCCGTCCTGGCGCTGATCCATGAGCGCAACCAACGAAAAATACCTGCGGGCGGGCGGTTTTTCGGGCTCTGGGTTCTTCTCCTTCGTTGTGTTCCGTTTCTTTTTTTTGGGTGGGGGATTGTTCTTCTTTGTTGTTTTCCGTTTCTCCTCTTTCTTTCTTTTTTTTTGGGGGGGGGGGGGGGTTCTTCTTCTTTGTTGTTTTCTCTGTTTTTTCTTTTTTGTGTTGCTGTTTTTTTGGTTCTGCTCCAGAGTTGGCACCCACCCTTTTTGGTAGATTCTAAAGGAAGGCCACTTTTGTGTTTCTTCTTCTTCTTCTTTTTTACGGGGGGGGGCTGTTTTTCTTCAGACACGCCCAAATGGCTATGCAGTTTAAGAGTCGGAACGTCCTCACAAGTGGTGGACATGAATCCCCTCCATGAGGATCACTGGTCCCCCAAGAAAGATTCATACCAAAGTTTCTTGGGGGGTGGTAGGGGTTGATTCATGCTAGGTCCCCAGTAGTGCCCTTTTACCCTTTTGTTGGGGGAGGGTTCTCCTACTAAAATAGACTACAGAACAAATGGCTACCCTGTCTACTGCAGGACCTAGCATGTGATTCACAGAACCAAAAGGGGCAATCCCAATTTCTCTCTTGAGTCATGTTGGTTCACAAAACCCACATCCCAAAAGTGTGGAAAAAGAAGTTGAATGTGGTTTTGGACCTTTAGGGTTTGGGGCAGAGCGACAGTGCCTTGGAAGGTGCTGTTTTTTTCTTTCTGGTTTTTGGTAGGGCATCAGCAGGGCATGTCGGAACGAAGCCAACAGTCCCTCAAAGGAAGCCAAATGGACGGCGTAGCTTCCCACATCCGAATGACCAAGGAAATCACCCAAACCCAAGGGACATGACTGAAAGAGCAGCACAATTTCCGGGCCCGAGAAGTTTACTTTGGGTTCCAACCCCTTCGTGCAAAGCTCTTTGGGTTCGGCCTGAGAGCGCCCTGAAGCCGATCGATCTGCTGCGGTTGGGGTAGGTGTCAATTTGACCTTGGGTCCTTCAGAATCCAACGTGATCGACCCAAGAAACCGTGTTGGTTTTTCTGTCAGGATCAACACCCAGGGTGCCGCAATATCCTCTTTTGAGCAGCGTTTTTTAATCAAATGAAAGGGTTTATACAAAAAGGGAACTGCATGTACTTTGCGGAGGCAATCCTGGTTGGGGGCGTAGGCTCGCGTAGGCTTCAGCGCGTAGGCTGTTGTGTCACCCCTCGCGTAGGCTTTTCGCGTAGGCGTTTGTTGAACAAATCATGACTCAGTGCTGTTTGCCAAGTATAAATGAATTTGCTTCTTTTGCCTTCCTTCTGTTTATTCTGGAGTCTTCGCGTAGGCTCCGCGTAGGCCCCGCGTAGGCATTCGCGTAGGCTTTCAAGGCATTTCGGGTACGTAGACCTTTTCTGGCAGCCAGATCCTTGGACAGATGCGGCCTTCTCACTTGTACTGCAATTCTGATCTTAGAGCCGGAGCTGCAAAAGTACTGAAAAGTTGCGATTTTCCAGCTGGAGCTGCCACAGTGCACTTCAACACTTGAACTCAACATTTGCCCGCGTAGGCATTCGCGTAGGCACCTGGAAGCTGACTTGCGCTCGCGTAGGCACCCCTCGCAGGCCGCGTAGGTTTGCGTAGGTTTTCGCGTAGGCATGCAAGTAGTGCATAGGCCTCGAACCACCAAAAAAAACACTGCTCTTTTGAGGACCATGCAGACAACTGCAAGTTTTGAGATGACCAGCCCCGAAACGCGTTCCCTTTTTCTGCCGGAATCCCGCGGGAAACTGTCACGTGGGCTTCATTTAGTACGAGTTTGGGTCACTCAAATATCACCGGCTAGGCGCCGTGCTGACATGCGCGCAAAAAAATAACACATCACCTGGGATAAATTCAAAATTTGAGGGCACCTGGCAGCCCGGTGCCCCTTTTTTTGTTTTTTCCTCCAGGGCCAAAGTCCCCAGTGTGGCTTTTTCAGGCACCCCAAATCCCTGGCCAGCGTGGGTTCCGTTCCAGGATGGAGATATTCAATAACAGGACGGCCTTGATGAGCTACTACCATCTTCCAAGCCCAAAGTCGATGGTTGTTTGTCGCCTTCCGCGAGAGCCTTCGTACAATGTCCACCAAAAGGTCCAACCTATGCAAGTGTGAGTTCCATTGTGCAGGGTTCCCTTGGCTGGTTTTCAACCTCACCTGTAGTTTGCTAGTCCAAAGTGAGTTTCCCGTTGGGTGGCACAGGCAAACATGGAAGCACGTAGGGAGGTGTAGGAAGTATGTGAATGTGTCCAAATAGAAATCGGGCCCCCAAAATGTGAAGGTGTCATTCAGTATCCAAAAATAATCCCCTCAAAAAGGGTGTCTTCTTTCGAGGCCAAAGGTTCTCACCATTTTGGGGGTCTAAAACCCGCCAACCCCTGCCTTGTTTTGTTCCCCCCCCCCAACAAAAAACGAAACACACACAAACTTACACCAACGTAGACCCCGCTCAGATTAAAGCCACTCCAGGATGGCACCCCTTGACCTCAAGCGCCTAAGCGCCTCACAAGCGCACAAGCGCCTCGCGCGTCGGCCTCAGGCGCCTTTTCCCGGACGCCGTGCTGCTCATCGGCTCCTGTGGGGCTGTGGCGGGGATCGTCTTCAGCTCCTGGCGATCCCCGAGCCTCGGAGCGAAGGGGGAAACGTCGGGGGCCTTTCGGAGGGAAAAGACCTGGGATCGATGTCTACGAGTCCCTTCTCATTGGTGTGTTTTTGTCCTGGCTGCAAAAGGAGTTGGTCCCTTCCCCCTTTTCAGGCTTTTTAAACATGGCCCCCTTTTTAGGCTTTTTAAACATGGCTTTGAAAGGAATTGGTCCCTTCGCTTATGATTTGCTGAAAGGGAATCCTCCGCTAAAGCAAATTGAGGGTGCCAGTATCTCAGGATTGCCGCTGAAACCTTGTCCTTCCATTTTGTTTTTCTGGTGATGTTAGGATCATTTGTCCTTCTGTTGAGATCAAGATGCGGGCAGCTCCCATATTAGAGATCAACATGTTCCTGCTTCGATCTTGGGAAGATATGAGATCAATGACTTTTCCAAGGATGCTTCCCCACTTGATCATGGCCACTTGCGGGTTCTATTTGCTATGAACTCTAAGTGCGTGAAGTAGGTACCCCTAACATGCATCCTTGTGCCCCTCGAGTCCAAAAACCACACGCCGCGTGGCGTGGTTCCTTTTTTTGGAGGCTGGGTGCCCTATTTTGGGGAGGTGTTTTTTAGGGAAACCAAATGGGAAACGGCTTCTCGAGTCCAAAAACCTCATGCAGCGTGAGGCTGGGCCAGCCCAAGAACGTGATCCTGGGGAACACCTTGGGCGGCCTCGCGGGTTTCCTCGCGCCATGGCTCAGTCGGTTTGGTTAGGTGTGACTCGGCCCCCTTTTCAGGTTGGGGCCAAGGGAAACCAACAGGAAAGACCCGTGTTTTTTTGGTGTTTTTTTTGTTTTGTTGTTGTTTTTGAGTTTTGTTTTCTTGAGGGGTTCAATGGATAACCATTTTTTGCAAAGACCTGCCTGGTTTCTTTCAATACTGAGCTCTCCGAACGAGGAAGAACGAGCTCGCCCTTGTTGAAAGTTCCTTGTTTGGGGGTATACCGTGGAGTAGCCACGAAATGCAACCAGATGACCAAAACGGCCTTCAAAATTACATGACAGTTTCTCAAAAGCCGATTCCTCAGTGTCCTTTGCTCTGACACCATTCCAGCAAGGGATCCCGTCCCCTCTTTGAGACGCATGTAAGCAATATAGGCTATAGGTCCTCGGAGTATTCACGTCTCTTGTCCGGGGATTTAGAGAAGTTTGGCTCTGGAAAGCAAGGCTCCGCCAAACCCAGCTCATGTGCATTTGGATGAAACAAGAGAACAGCAGATGGTTCACTTTTGGGGTCAAAGACCAGCGAGTGACCATGGCCAAGGACCATGGGCTGTAACCTTTCGGCTCTGACTGAACATCTGCGTTTGTGTTCTTTGGGTACCCTTCTCACCTTGGTTTGGAGGAAGCCAAAAAGAACGCCACTCTTTTTCTTTACCCCTATTTTGAGACGCACATCCCATGTGGGTCTGTCAATTCTTGAGTGTGCTCGTCGGTTTTTTTTTGGGGTGGGGGGGGTGGGGGGGGGTGGGAAGGGGAGCCGAAGTCATGTCGGGACGCCCAAAAGATGTCGAGCCAAGGTGCAGCGTTTGCTGAGCCTCGCCTCAGAGAATGGGACTTGGCTGACCGCTCCGCTGGCGCTTGCGCTGACGATCACTCTGCAGGCGGGGAAGTCTCACTTACAAAAACCAAAGAACAAGTCAACAACCTGCAGTGACGGGTGCGGTGTTTTTGTTTGTTTTTGCGTGTCTTGTTTTGTTGTTTTGGTTTGGTTTGGTTCGGTTTCGTTTGGCTTTGTTTGTGTGTTGGTTGGTTGGTTGGTTGGTTGGTTGGATGGTTGGATGGTTGGATGGTTGGATGGTTGGATGGTTGGATGGTTGGATGGTTGGATGGTTGGATGGTTGGATGGTTGGATGGTTGGATGGTTGGATGGTTGGATGGTTGGATGGTTGGATGGTTGGTTGGTTGGTTGGTTGGTTGGTTGGTTGGTTGGTTGGTTGGTTGGTTGGTTGGTTGGTTGGTTGGTTGGTTGGTTGGTTGGTTGGTTGGTTGGTTGGATGGTTGGTTGGTTGGTTGGATGGTTGGATGGTTGGATGGTTGGATGGTTGGATGGTTGGATGGTTGGATGGTTGGATGGTTGGATGGTTGGATGGTTGGATGGTTGGATGGTTGGATGGTTGGTTGGTTGGATGGTTGGTTGGTTGGATGGTTGGTTGGTTGGTTGGTTGGTTGGTTGGTTGGTTGGTTGGTTGGTTGGTTGGATGGTGGTGGTGGTGGTGGATGGTTGGTTGGATGGATGGTTGGTTGGTTGGATGGTTGGTTGGATGGTTGGTTGGTTGGTTGGTTGGACGGATGGTTGGTTGGATGGATGGTTGGGTTGGATGGTTGGTTGGATGGTTGGTTGGATGGATGGTTGGTTGGTTGGTTGTTGGATGGATGGGTTGGATGGATGGTTGGTTGGTTGGGTTGGTTGGTTGGTTGGTTTGGTGGTGGTGGATGGTTGGATGGATGGACGGATGGTTGGTTGGTTGGATGGATGGTTGGTTGGTTGGATGGATGGTTGGATGGATGGTTGGTTGGATTGGATGGGTTGGATGGTTGGTTGGTTGGATTGGTTGGATGGTTGGATGGTTGGATGGTTGGTTGGATGGTTGGATGGTTGGATGGTGGATGGGTTGGTTGGAATGGTTGGTTGGTTGGTTGGATGGTTTGGTGGTGGTTGGTTGGATGGTTGGTTGGTTGGATGGGGATGGGATGGGTTGGATGGTTTTTGGATGGTGGTGGATGGTTGGATGGTTGGTTGGATGGTTGGGGTTGGATGGTTGGATGGTTGGATGGTTGGATGGTTGGATGGTTGGATGGTTGGATGGTTGGATGGTTGGATGGTTGGTTGGATGGATGGATGGTTGGATGGTTGGATGGTTGGAGGGTTGGATGGTTGGATGGTTGGTTGGATGGTTGGATGGTTGGATGGTTGGATGGTTGGATGGTTGGATGGTTGGATGGTTGGATGGTTGGATGGTTGGATGTTGGGTTGGTCGGTCGGTCGGTCGTTCGGTTGGTTGATCGGTCGGTCGGTCGGTGGGTTAGTTTCTTTTTTGTTGGGTTGGTTAATTGTGGTCTTGTTGTATTGTTTATTTGTGTGTTTGTTTGTCTGTCTGTCTGTTTGTTTGTTTGTTTGTTTGTTTGTTTGTTTGATTGATTGATTGATTGTTTGTTGGTTTGGTTTGGTTTGGTTTGGTTTGGTTTGGTTTGCTTGAAAAGGGCTTGTTTATGCCTTTGCGTTCTGCTTTTCACTTCGTGTGGGACCAGGAGCTCGGCAACGCAGTGCATCCCCCCGGGGGCGCCACCGCGTTGCTCTTCGCCATGGACCCCTCGCTGCAGCGGATGGGCTACATGTACGCGGCACGGCAAAGCGGCAAAGACCTGAACCCCTGGGCACCGTTTTTTTTTTTTGGGGGGGGGGTAACTCCTTAGTTTGTGTTTTTTTGGTATATCACTCCTTAGTTTGTGGTTTGGATTGGCGATTTGGGGATTGCAAAGCCCTGGTTCTTGTAGAGGGTACATGGGAAACCACCAATCCAAACCAATTCGAGGGAGGCTGATATTGTTGAGGGGGGGTGTTGTTTGATTTGTGTGTCAGGATGTGCCAGGTCGTTCTTGCGTTTGTGTTGTGGTGTGTTTGGTTTTTTCGGTTTCGGGGGAGGCTCCTGTTGATGTGTGTTCCCTGATACGTGGGAATCGTCCATGGGTTTGAACCAGGGGTACAGAAACTCCAGGCTGGAGAAAGGGGCCAAACTCTCCCGGAGTTCAGGGTGCCAACTTGAGAGTCAGCAATATCCTAGGGGTTGATGCCCCAATTCCATTCTTTTCAAGCATCGTTCTTTTCCAAATTTTCCAGAGGTTTTCTAGAAAGAAGGATGCCTGGAAAGAATGGGGATGGTATCCCTAGAAATACGGGCACTCTCTGAAATGAGTCTCTGAGTGGTCTCCAAACATTCGATGACCCTCCCAAACAACAGCTCCGGCCTTTGAGAATGGCGTGATTTCCTCGCTGGTTCCCTACAAAGTGACTCGTGGACATGCATCCCCACCTAAGTGATGTCCACCAAAAGGGGCCCTTATTGATTTCAGAGCCTTCCACGCTGTTTGTTGCTTGTGTTTCCCTTTGCCCTTTGCCCCAGTCTCTCAACATTTCGTCTGAGGTCCTGTCGCCCTCCTTTCTGGGAGCGGTGATTTTAGTTTCCCTTGGCTGCCTCACCAACAACTTGGCGCAGCGCCAGTATCCCCAGTGCCCCTTTTGGGAGCGCGGAGCGGTGGCCGGTTGCTCCTTTTGTCAATGCTCCCCTAAACCCTCCATTTGCTCAAGAATATTTATCATGTTCCCTTGTTGGTTTTATTTGGAATTCATCGTTGTTTTCCTGGGACCTTAACCAAACAAGGGGTCCTTCAAAAAGGGTCTCCTCTAACAAGGGTGAACATGGTCATGGACACTTGGAAAATGGAAAGCCCTTAAATCCATGGTCGGTGGCGAATAGGTCGGCCACCCCCCACCCCCTCGAAAATGGAATATGAGGGGGGGCGGGGGTGAGGTTGGTTTTTGGATTTTTTCCATTCCATTTTTTTCCGGCTTGGGGTGCGGCGTGGAATCGCTTTGGGGAGGTCCCAGTGGAAATTGGAAGAAATCACCTGGCAAAGGTGCTTCTTCCAATTTCGTGTCAGGGGGCTACCCCCCTTCATTTTCCGATTGCTCTTGCAGACCTGGAGAGCGGGGGGGGTGCCGATTGTAGCATTTTCTACAGATAAAAACACCTCCCCCCCCTCCTTTCCATTTAACAGGGTGGGGGAATCGGGTGTGGAAATCGGGGGGGGGGGGGAGGTGTATTTTGTGCTTCCCGCCAAGGAAAATCCACCTCCCCTCTCAGTGTTCCATTTGTAGGCGCCCGGTGCTCCATTTCAGATTGGGGAGATGCAAATTGTAGCGGTTTTTGCAGGTAGAACAACCTCCCCCAGGGGCGCACAGTAGCCCCATGAAATTTGGTTAGGGGGAGGCAATCCCTCGCAACCTCCCCCCTCCCCCGCCCCTTCGAATTAAACCTCCCCCCTCGGTCGGGGACAAAATGGAAGTGGGGGGGGGAGGTCAGAAAATGAAATATCTAACCTAGAATATTGGGGGGGGGACCCCCTCCCCCCGCGAGGCGGTGGTGGTGGTCGGCCATTTTCTGAGGTGACGCGTGGGGGAGGCCCACATTGGCATCAAAGAAGGAGTCATGGTCCACAACCAACTCCTCAACCAATCAGTATGTTTTTTTTTTTTTTTTTTTTTTTTCTGTTTTGTAGGTTCTAAAGGGCTTCCCCTTGAAGCACCAAAATGATACTGGTGACGTGGGATCCACTGGGTAACCTGTCGGCTAGTGAGCCTTTTGCTCGCAGATTCCAGTCCAGCCCTTGTTTGATTCCTTTGGTTTCCTTCCAGACGAGAAGCCAAGCGAAGTCGCTCGGGTTCAACCTCAAACGAGAAGTTGTGAGTTTCAGGGACATAGCTTCGGTGGGACAAACACAGCTTCTCTCATCGCTGTTCCAAAGAAAGCAGGAACATCTGACAAGGACATCCATGAATCCCTGGTGTCCTTCGTGGTGCTTGGGTTTCTGCAGAGGTGGTCCCGCCGGTTTTCTTACCCCCAGTTCATTTGGAGAAGTCCGGTCAAATCCAAACGGAAATGGCGCCCTCTTATCTACCTGGGTACACCTTCTACGCTTTGCAGAGGGGCTGCTTCCCCAAAAAGTTGTTCTCCAAATGCCCTTTTTAACAGGACACCCCACCAAAATGGGTGGTTTAAAGGAACAGGAAGGATGCCATGCATATTTAGGCATCCCCAGACTGACAAACACCGGAATCTCCCCTGCGACAGCGCCAGGTACTGGTTCCCGCCGCTCTCCGTGAATTATTTTGCCCGAAAAGCAGAGACCTTGGAGTGTCAGTGTTAGCCCGAATCGTGGCTGAACACGATTCGACCCAAAGGCTGGATAAGGCAAACGCTCGCCAAAAGCATAGGGGTGGCGTGGCGGAGCACTATTCGACTCACCGCAGGGAAGCACCCTGAAAGCAGATGAAAAGAGAATTGAACTTGAGAGTTTAGATGGTTCTCAGATCTTCTTTGGGCATGGATAGAGAGAACTGAGAGAACTGTTGAGCACGAATTCCACAAACTGCCGCCCTCAAAGTTAATTCAAGTTGGTCCGCCCTTCCTGGCGGTTCCTTCGGGCAGAGCCCCGGAGCCCAACTTGAGCTTTGCATGGATTTTTTGACACAGTGACCCACAGGCACCACGTGCCATACCGAGAGGAGCAGCGCCCGACTCCTGCTGGTCATGTTTGGTTGGTACCTGCATGAATTGTTGGTTCTGTGCAAGCATGTCAGTAGAAGCAACAGTTAATGGTTTTGGTCGCTGCTCGTTTGAATCGAGAACATCATTGAAAAACGATTCGGGACGCAACGTCGAATGAATGACCTCTAACATAATTTTGACGTTGGTCCCTAGAACAGGGGCCCTGGGTTGTCTTTTTGGAGGGCACTTCCTTTGGGGTGGGTTTCAGGAGTAGTGTCTTATGTGAACACACCCAGGATCCCAGTATAGCGGACCTCGTTTTTGGAGTGGGGAGAAGCTGAAAAGAGGCCGAAGCCCACTTCGGGCGATCTGTTTGACATGTAAAGCAAATTGCAAATGTATCTCCCGAGCGCCAGCCAAAGTGCTAGCTGGGGGAAGGACAGAACAAGCTATCCGTGACTCCGGACTCTTGTAAATTTTACAGGATGCCAGCCTTGCAAGCTGGCTCGCGTGCCAAGAATCGTGAATATCAGTGAATTGTCCCGAATTCGCACTCGTGTTTCAAGGCATCATTGGGCAGCGCATTGGATGCAATGGGACAAACTTCAGACACCAATTGTTTCAGGTGTTTGTTTCACTCCGCACACGCTTTCAGGCACACGCGGCATCCCCCGGGCTTGGGGAAGGCACTAGGTCCTTTGGCCCTTGCGTATAGAAGGCATCCGCCGGCCGTGGCTCCACTTTGTCCTTCACACTCACCAAACTACGTAAAACTATGCACAACTATTCTATCGCAACGAACACAGCGTGGGTGTATGTATTTGTGTGTGTGTGTTGTGTGTGTGTGTTGCGTGTGTGTGTTGTGTGTGTGTGAGGTGTGTGTGTGTGTGAGGTGTGTGTGTGTGTGAGGTGTGTGTGTGTGTGGGCAGCAGATGTTTAGTTTGGTTCAATCAGAAATCAAAAGGAAACCCATTGTTGGAGGTATAGGTTGATGTATTTCCCCAATTTAAAGGCGATGTATAGCTTGGGCAAGGCTCAACTCTTGCCCCAAGATACGAAGAGCTGGTGTTGTCTGCAGGTACGCTTGCAAGATATGATCGGTAAGCAAACCGACCAAACACCTCGGTGAAATGCAGACCTTGAATTGCACTATTCAAGACTTGTACCCATTTGGGAACCAACAGTATGTGGTTCCTAAAGTGGGGATGGCACAAAGGTGGCAAAACGTTACAAGCTATAAGTTTGTTTCTTGGCACTGAACCCAACGCGGGGGTACTTGCACAGATTCTCAGCCTTTGTTTTCTTGAAAGCTGGTTCCAGGCAGAGCCATGCCAACTCCTGCACAACTTGCGGGCAGTGCTGCCTTCGGGTAGGCACCACCTCGGTTTCGGCTTCAACCCCATTTCTGGTCGATCTAATCGAGACGAAGCTTGTGTAGGCACTGGTATAGTTACCCTGAGGGTTGTTTCATGGTGGTTGGAGATCAACATAAGTTCTGCGCCGGAGGCGCAGTCGGCAAGCGGGACTCGATCGAGAGTTCCTTGGCGCACAGTGCTTGTCTTTCTTGTTTTCTCCCGGGAAAGGATGCCTGAGGAAAAGGATCGACGGCGCTAGTCCGATGGTCCAATCCATCTGAACCAGATCGCGATCGAGCAGGGCTGAGGTTGGGTGTGTCACCCTTGAGGCAATCAGGGAAATTGCCCAAAGCACAACGCATGGAGTCGAAAGAAGGCATTGTGTCGAATCTACAAGGCTCTTTGATATGCGTGTCCTGTCAGGTTCTTTACAAAACCACCCTTCCATAGAAAGTCCAACTTTGTCCACCTTCTGAGTTTGAGAATTAAGGAGACAACCGTGGCTAGTCTCGGCTTCATGCACGCAGGAGGGAAACTCAAATGCAGCAAAGCTTCGCCCGCTCACAGGTTGCCAAAGACTGCTCCTACAACAAAGGAAAGACACATGCCACAGACCACAGCAAGAGACAGGCCAAAGGGCAAGCAATGCAGGCCGAGCTCCCACCGGAAAAGGGGTCAATGTCAAAGTAACCCCAAAAGTGGGTGGGTGTTGCTTTTGGTTTCAATTTGAACCAACCAAACAAAGGTACAATCACAAACACACACACACACACACATCTCTCGGGTGAAGTTCCCAGCTCGGGCCGTTACGTAGAACGTGGGTGTTTTAAAGGGCCATGGCAGGCAGACGCGCGGTCTTGCAGCCTGGGGCCTTCCGTGATGTTGAATTCGCGGGGAAAACATGGTTGTTGTTGGGAAACATGTTTCCCATTTTTGCTTGTTGTGGTTTAGTGGTTGAAATCCAACCACTTAGCTGCTAAAATCGTCAACCAAGAAAAAGGGGACACCCAGTATTTATGTTTCTCGTGACGTTTGTGCTTGAAGACGTATGGCGCTCCCGATTTTTGGGTGTTTCTGGCAGGTGTGAATGAACACAGGATCGTAGCGCTCTGGTCATCGCTCATGTGCGCGTTCCATCCGGTGAGTGGCAGGGTCGTTCCTTGAGAACGTGGTCACAGGGAAGCCCTCCTGCGATTTCCAGTTCGCGAAAGCTTGAGTGAGGCCTCAGCACTTGGATATGATCAAGACCTTTTGAACAGCGATTGGCAAAAACAGTTTATAGGCAAAAGCAAGCATCGCCTGCTTACTCCAAAGGTAGCCATGGCCATTGATTGTTCTGCGAAAATCGCCTAGATCGCTTGGAGACGGATGGGCGCTTGGGAGCCACGGATGTTCGAAAATGGGGCGGCAGGCCCATGTTGGCGCCGACGCAGTATGAAGGCTTGCCCTTTGTGGGCCACAGGCGGGCTTTCGAAAGACGACAGCCTTTCGATTTGCGACGGTTGCCGAGTTCCGATGGAGCAACGTCTACGCTTGTTGCTTGTTTTGGATGGGGGACTACCAGCTTTAATTGAGGCGAGGCATGGCATTGATTAATGCCAATGGGTGAAACGGGCGCATGAGACCCGTGTCTTGGTCATAGTGACCGGTCCCGATCGAAAAGCTGTGGCTCATTGATAATATGTCAGAGATCCGAGAACTTGCAGTTGTCCGAATCTCATTTGCAAGTCTGGATGTTGGAAGGAAAATGTTACCCTCCCACAAACTAACATGGAAGTGCAAAAAGGCCCTTTCCAGGAGGAAAGTGGTCTTTCTACAGGGGGTGCACAAATCCATGTTAGCTGGTGGGTAAAGAGGATGCAAGCCATTCCACTCACAAAATCGGCATGCAATTGGTCATTGGGCCGGGGTTACGCAATGGACTTTCAACACGAGAGATGGACATTTCACTGGCTTTCCTACGGCTTCCAACCAGTTCATTCGGGAAGGAACCTTGCAAGTTTGCATTTGGAAGGTGTTTGAAGGGGAAGTAAAAGGAATCATTTCTAATTTGTTCCGTGGGATCTCTGTAAAACTAGTTCTGTTTAGTGGCTTCTCCACTCATTGGTTGGATTTTCCACAGGGAGGAACTTGCCTTTGTAAGGCGCCTACGAAGCTTCCTGGCCCATTACGCAGAAGGAGCGGAGGGTGTGGCTGGTGCGCCCCCGAAACGTCGTGGAGGGAGCGCAAGGATTTTGCGCTTTTCTAGTTGGCGGACCCCTCCCACAGGTGTTTTACCATGTCCCCCAGTAGTGCCCTTTTACCCTTTTTTTGGGGAGGGTTCCCTACTCAAATAGACCACAGAAAAAGGGTACCCTTATTCTAACCTCTCTACTGGAGGACCGAGTTTACCTTGTTGTTGCTTTTCTTCAACAGGTGGTGGTTGACCTGTCGGACGTTGTTTCTTGGACATGCCCTCCCAGTGTTGGGGCGTATCTTCCATCCATTCCCAGGTGGTAGTACTCCGCAGGCCACGGTAAGATTAGAAGAATCCTTGCTTCCGAGCGCAGCGTAGCGTAGCCAAACGGGCAAACAAGTGTAAGGCCAGAAAGGATGTATTTGTCCCCCCTGCTAGTCTGAGAGGGCGATGGATAAAGCTCCTTCTTCGAAAACGCGATTTACGAACAGGCCGCAGTTGTTGCTAGCGTCATGGAACCCCATGGACTCTCCAGACCACCATAAACCAACTTCCGGCCCACGCGATCGAAAGTGGTGTGCAAGAGCTTGCGCTGCAACCCAAAAAAGCTAAATGTGTTTGCAAGTTTGAGTATAGTGTCATTTCCTTCCTTGGAGGGGCTTGGGCTTGTGAACGTCATGTTTACATGGAGTCACAATGGCTCGCAAGTTCGCAAGCAAGAACTTGGGGCCGCATGTACAAATTGTGCTGGGAAAATGTGATTACAGCCTCACAAAAGAGTTTGGCTTGCGACCGGATCTATGAATTGGTTACTTTCAGCAATCACCAGTGTTGGTGTTTGGCGAGGTACTAAAAGTCTACCAGGTCTGTTAGACCCGCTCCCCCGGATGGTCCCAACCCGGCACACCTTTACAGGGCGGCTGTTGCCATCGTGTGCGTGTGTGTGTGTGTGCGAAATTTGGCCCTGGGCCATAACCAATGGTACCATTTTGGGTAGGTGAATTCACCACCCATTTTCGAACCTATTTCAGTGGGTGTTGGGATGTTCACTGGGATTTTGAGCCATGGCCATTTGGCGCAGAGAATCCAGAACCTGGAAGCCACACTCCATCCCACCAGTCCCTATCCCCGCGCAGGGCACCCCCTGACGCTGGTGCCAGCTTCCCCAGAGGCGATGCCAAGTGGTCGAGATCTGGTCTGGGCTGTGTCTCAAAATGGGGGGAACCCCTAGAAAGGGTTGGCTTAACATATAGGTGTCCCTTAAATCCCAGAAAGGCCGCATCCCCCCGCAAATATATATATATATATGTATAGATATATATATATGTATCGATATATATATATATATCAAAAACAAAAACAAACAAACACATGGAAAATGAGCCGATAAGCGAACTATCCCTTTGATGGTTTTCCAAGCTTTCAGAGAAGGTTGAGGTTGACTTTTTTGGGTCCGTTTGGCAGAAAGCAACCCACAAGAAGATCTGTCCCGTGAGTCATTGCAGCGATTTCCCAGCAATGAATTTGAATTAAGACAGGATTCTCAGGCATCAAGCTACAGCGTCGTTTGGGCCGTTTTGTTGTTCAGGCGGGGCGTTCTAGAAAAAGACATGTCTGGGGGTGTTTTTCCTTGAAGACTCATTTTGTGAGGCAAATCTAAGGATAGAACCTTGGGGCCAGTTTTGGGTAAGGGTCCCCACCAGGTCGTGTCATGAAAAAGGCAGGTTCCAAAGGGGCACCTGAGCCGGCCGCTTCGGCACCAAAAGTTGGCCACTGCCAAAGGGTTTTAGTTTGGTGCCGCCTGGCGACGAAATCTCTGCTTGGCGATGGGTCAGGTTGCTCCTTATCCCGCAATGGGCGCGTTCCTTGTGGTTACTTTGCAACAGTGTTGGGGTCCCTCGGAAGCCAGTGTTGGATTTGGATTCATCCGGAAGACCATACTCATCCGAGTAACCTAAATAAATTGTATCATTTCTGTGCTTCAAGGGGAACGACCCCTGATGTTTCATCCAGACGCCAAGTTGCGCAGTGGACTCCAAATGACTCCAACCTCTGGTGTTCCTGTTGTTTCACAGGTTTCCCTTACAATAGGATTAATTCGCCCATTCGAGGGCGGCAAACTTGTTTTTCCGCCCAGGATGTTCCACCCCTTGGCGTTTATTTTGTTTCAGAGGTTTCTCTGCATCCACTCCGGGCAAGCCTGTTGTCCTGACTCCGGGTTTTCCACAGGCTGTGCCCTATTTGGACGACGACACGGACCTAGGCCTGATACAGCCTTGGCCCTCGGGGTACCTTTTGACCGTTCCTTTGGTTGAACAGCAGATTGTCATTTTCATGAGCAACGTTGAGCACCCTTTTTGGGGTGGTTTTCAATGGACCCTAAAGGACACAACACTTTTTCATGGGTCCCTTATTTAAAGACACTCCCAGATAATTGGAACCGGTTGGCGGTGGCGTTTGTTTTGGTTGGAACAAAGTATGAGCACGAGCACGAGAGGCTTTCGCAATCGTCCATACATTCCTACCTATGAACCCGCCCCCCCGTTTCCCTTCAAAGTAGGCCCTCTTGTTCATATTTGAACACGGGTTGCACTTGAAAAAAGAGAAAGCCCCTGCCTTCTGGTGTTTCAAAAGGACAAATAAGAAACAACACAACCAGGTACAAGTGGGTGGTGGTTTAGGCTTGTCTCAAAAGCAACAACATCCTCAAACTTTGCAAAGCCATGTTGGTACCTAAATTCCATATCCTGGGGAAAAAAAAACACTCAAACATCGCCACGCATTTTTGGCACCCAACTTGAGCTTTCGCTTCACTGGCGCCAGGCGAGGGCTATGAGGAGGCCGCCTTCCTGAAGGCGCCGGGCTTGCGCCTTCGCGCGGATGTGTGGCGAGCTTCCCTGGAAATCTTTGTATGGTTAAAGCAGACACCCACCCAGAGAAATCTTCCTTTTTTTTTGGCGAAAGCGGACACCCGCGCAGATCCTTGAACGTGCTCATTTATTCCGACTCGTTGCGACCCGCACCCAAATGGCCACGAAGCACGTTTAGTTGGAAGCACCCGATTGTTGGACATGAATCCGCAGTGCTTTTGAGGATTCCCGGCGATTGTGTCTTTTTCCGGCGGAAAGCTTATCCACGTCTAACACAACGGAAGTATTTGGTCACAAAAGTGACTCGCTATGTCACATGCCTGTAGCAGACACTTTGAAGCTTCAATCACTCAGGACATCTCAGGACCTAAGCAAGCACCGACTTCCACAAGAAAGTCCGGTACTTACATGCCGTGCGCTGTGTTTTGGGAACATTGGGCTCTTCAACATACAGAGCTCTCGGTGTTTAGATGCAGCAACTGTGTCACATCCCGATATCACATGTCGTGGTACCACAAGAGCGTGCTAGCCGCTAGCCGCAAGGACACCAAAGTACTTCCGTTGGACATTGTTGAGATGTTAGACAACCGGCATTTTGGGATTTGTGGGATGGCTTCGGGCTCTTGGCGCGGCATTTCCTATACTTTGTGGGATCCAAACTGTCTAGGATGTGCAGCCGCCTTCTGCATAACTTCCCTTGTCAGATTTTGTCAGCAATAGACTCAACATTGCCAGGCTAGCGGTTTTGGGATTTGCAGATCGCAGTGCCGATGGACATCGCTTTTGGTAGTCCCATAATGAGGTGTGTCTTATAATAGGGGACCCCCAAAAATGGTGGGTGTCTCCTTGGTTGCCTTGAAACCAACCCCAAAAAGGGTGCCATCAAAAAAGACACACCCATATCGATCTTTGCACCAAAGGCTCGAGCGTGTGAGTTTGCTACCCCTAGGCCAAGCCCCTGGTTTCTTCCAACGCGACGTCCACCAGAGGGTCCAAACCAACTAGGCACACACTAGTAGTCCAACCGAGCAATCGCCAGGACTACTTTCAGTCGCAGGAGAAGGCAAGGGGGGCCGGGGGTCTGAAGGTTTGCGTTGCTGCTGGTGGTAAGTTTGCTTGATGGGTTGCCTTTTGATAAACAGGGGTTGGAGTTTGTTTGTTTGTTGTTGTTTGTTCATTTGTTTGCTTGCTTGCTTGCTTGCTTGCTTGCTTGCTTGCTCGCTCGCTTGCTTGCTTGCTTGCTTGTGCGTTTGTTTGTTGGTTGTTGATTGTTCCCCACCCGTCATGTGGGACATGATGGGTTGTTGGGCAATTTGAAGATCCGCCTGCAAGCCAGCAGCTCCAAGATGCAGATGACAAATGCCGAAGTCAGTCAGCAGATGCACCAGAGCCCGTCAGACAGATCCGCGCAGGTCGGTGTGGGCCAGAGAGGGCGCTAGTCCGGGTCTTTGTGTGTGGGGGGAGGTCCGGGTCTGAGTGTCTCACAATCGTTCGGCTCTTGAAGCCGAGCTTCTCAGCCGACTAGGATATAGGATCTTTGGTGACAACGAGACTGATGAGGCAACGCCTTTCTGCAGGCCCTGAATCAACGTTAACCAGCCAAGACACATCAATTGCAGCTCAAGAAGGTACAGCCCAAAAATAAAGTTTCAGCCGTCGGGGAAAACCAGAAACCCAGAACCTGTCCAGGACAGCTAGAACATCATTGACAAACTTTGCCGGAGAGACGAAACATCTCAAAACAGCCGGCAAACAACAAAGACTGAAGAAGACTTGGAAGAACGGACTGGCGCAATGTTACGCTGCACGGAACCGAGCCGCCCTACGGCCGCGATGCCATCGAATCAGCCCCCAGACGCCACTGCGCCACTTGTGGTGGATTCGTGAGTAACGTGGTGGTGCAAAAATATTGGTGGGGATGGCTCGCAGCTTTTGCTTTGCATGCTTGTGGTAGCCATCGTTGCGTTGCGCGCTTGGTCCTGCTGCTTTCACTCAACAACAAAAAACAGAGTGGTCTGCCACACCGACGGTCGGAAAGTGTGCTGCTGGCAAGCGGGTGTCAAGGGACTTGGCGACACGCCCTTTTGGTGACGGCTGTCATGCAGCTAGGCTTTTCAAAAAAGGCAATCCTGTAGTCCTGTTGCCGTTTCGAGGGCAGAGCCACAATCTGCGCTATAACTTGAAACTCCAGCCCTCAATTTCCACGCCATCCACGCCTTATACCTGCACTTCGAACATGTTTTCAGAGGACGTGGGAAGCTGAGTCTTACCGACAAATGGGGATAACCATTTGGTCCAAAAGGTCCACCCGCTTGAAAGGCACCTATAGGCCCCAAAAGGCTCCAACATTCCAGGGTTGCTCACAGCCTTTTAAGGTCGACCAAGCCGCAAGGACAAAGATTTGGCTGAGTTTCTTTGGTTTGCCCCTTGCAACAGCCAATGTTCTACCGTTGCGCAAGAGTCTGCTAACGTTGTCAGCCAGTGGCCTTGTCTGATCCACAGTGTGTCACAGGCTTACCACCTGCTGCTGAACTTTGTCATTGAGGTGCGCCTTTTGGTGCTTTGTGTTCTTTGGAAACATTGAAGCTGATGGAAGAATGGTGGAAGGCTATCATTCTTGTGGGCTGTTTTGTTTTTCCACGAAAGAAGGAGGACACTCTGTGCCTTCTGGACCCGTGCTGCATGCTCAGCCGGTATCTTTCTGCACATGTTGTTCTCTTCCTGCGTTGATGTTCGGAAAGGCACGTGTTTTGCTCATGTGCCAGTTAAGGAATTACGTGGGTCAGGTTGAGTTATGTGGTCAGGTTGAGTGGCCGCCTTTGTCCTTGTCGGTTGACCAACCGAGAGGGGACCCCGAAAACGACTCGCACCTTTGGTTTCCCTCTCAAGCAGCCCCCAAAAAAGCGCCCAAGAGTACATCGCCTTTGGTTTAGTTTTGCAGCAAGCCCAGCAAGAATACCCTCACACAATGACCCGGCCTTGGGTTTTCCCAATAAAACAAACCCAAAAGGATGCCAAACAAGGAAATACCAGTTCCCTTTATAGTGACTCCAAAAGGATACCCCCGAGCCACGGCATACCTTTTCCCTTCAAGGCAACTCCGAAAAGGCCACCAAACCTGGAGAAGGGAACCAAGAACCTTGAAGTCTGTTGGGCGCCAAGTTGGCCCTCGAGTGACAGTGCCGAACGATGATCAAAAGCATTGACGCGTGTAACAAAAACCGGGCCAGCCCTGCAAGACAGACAGCGCAGGATCTGAAAGCTTGTGCGTGAAAATCCATTCAGGACTGGCTGCTGAGCAGAGTTTGTATCACCCTGGGCAAGCGAAGCTTCCACAAAACCTACTCGGACTTTTCAAAACAGGCCTTTGCTCCGTTCGATGGTCCGACCTGACAGTCCCAGTGGTCCCATTGTCCCAGAGACCTCATCCAGAGCCTGTGGCTCCATCATTTGTGTTTTCCAGGTAGCTTCATCAGCTTTTTCGGGAAGGGGTTGTCCCTGGACCTCAGAGGGCCAAACGGAACGTGGCAGGTTTCCGTCCACCTCAACTACTGGCTGGCGTGGTCCTCAACTCCAAAGCTGCTCTCGTGCTTTTCGCGCGGGTCGAGAACGGGCGATGCCTTTTCTCGTGTGGAGTTTGTTCAGAAGGTAAATCCCTGGCGTTTTTTTTTTTTGAAATGGCAGGTTTCCTGTTGGCACTTCAGCCTCTGAGTTTGTGCACCATGTTTGTTTCATGTTCAGTTGCAGTTGCCTCTTTCTGTGATGAAAAGGAACACCCTTCACTGTGACACAGTCGTCATGGGGATTTGCGTGCCTCCTTGGATCACAGGCATGCGTGCGCGCTAGAGGATTGGGGCGGAGGTCAACTGCGAGCAGGTTTGACGCACTCTCATGACGTTCTTATTTTTTGGCGGGCGAGGCAACCCCAAAGATAGGTTTTCGGAATTGCTATTGTATCAACTGCACATGTCATCTCGCCACTGCCGAAGTTCTATCGTGCTCTATCGTCCGTCACGACTGTAGCCCAAGTGTGTTTCTTGCTTGACGGCGTTCACCCTCAAAATTGTTCAGAGCAAACATCCCACTAACTTCAATCCCCCATAATCCCCAGAGAGGAGCCACAACGAGTTACAGCCACCCAACAAAGACAGCACGGAAACCCCAAAAAAAACGCAAAAGCCACCCAACAAAGACAGCACGGAAACCCCCAAAAACCGCAAAAGCCACCCAAAAACACCCAAAAACATGGCTCCCACGACCCAAGGCTCCGCTTTGCCCACGCGGTCCGTAGGACTGGGCGACGCCCGTGCACCGCCGGCCCCGCTGGGCGCACCAGGGAGCCAGGCCTGGGAGTCGAGTCGAGTCGCGAGCTGAGGGGATGACCTACTCGCTTAACGGAGACGAGCAACCTGGCGGTGTCCAATTACTCACCAGAAACCTTCTGTCCGTTTTTTTTTAGTTTCTGGCTGTTCCCTCTTTGTTTAATTTCAGAGGATCCAGAGAAATGATGGGATGGATGGTCGATGTCGAAGCAGGTTTTTGGTGTGGGGAAAACGTAGGGACACCAGGCATATCCGGAATCTGCCGCCATGCCCGCTTTGGCCCGCCTGCTTCCTTTCCCAAAACGGGGCAGACAACAAGGCTTCGGCTGCTTGCCCAGAGTGCAGGATGGCTCTTGAACACGTCAGACAGGTCCCCAGCTCATCCTCGCTTCTTTGCCGGAGGCCAAAATGTATTCATCTAGAAGACTCCCTGGTTCTTTCGAGGTTGCGAACATCGCCCTGTGATTGCCATTAAGTGAGGCGCTTGCTGATATGTTTGAGGGCAAAAGGAGGCTGGCTTGGCGAGTGGACAAGGGCAGGGGCCAAAGGGTTTCTAGCCCACCCAAGAGTAATGAACGAGCGGCTCATTGGGGGGGGGGGTGGAGCAACGACACATTTGAGCATTTTAAAAACGTAAAATGTACTAGCACTTGCCTTTAGGAGATCTACTCGTCCTTGCCTTAGTTCACTTCCTCTTCCTCTTCTCGGCACTCAAGGGGGTAGTGTCTGAACTGGTTGCCCCCCTTGCATCTGCTCAAGAATCCACTGAAACCGTTTGCTTGGTGACCCCACTCTATCTCACAGCCGGTGCCACGATGAGTCAAGCAGCCCACGCCACTTCCTCTCATCAGCGTTGACGCAGCGAGCTTGCCTGATGCACTGAAGTGAAAGATACAGTTGATGGACGAAATCCTGCACCCACCTAAGAAACCACGGGAAACCACTGTTTGTTGGTGCTTACAGGGAATCAGACCATTCCAGGGTTTCTTAGGTGGTGCGAAATGGATTTCGCAACCACCCACAGTAGTTATCATTTTCATCTGCAAGACTTTCAGCAGTCCCCGCATCACAGGTGGTGGCCTTGAGGTTCTCCATATTCACAGACACATAATCACATCAATTGATGTTTACAAGGTGCTTGGCTAAGATCAGGTTAGACTGCACAAGCACTCCAATGGGATAATTTAACTGGAGGATTCATGTTGGGTTTGACTTCGCCAAGAAGTGACGATATTCTCAACAAAAAACAGGTTCCCAACCACTGGACATTCCACCAGGATGCTGGACCAAATCAGCCCATTTTGGTCCCGACAGGAAGCTGTGGCGCGCATACCTTGGCCTGCCCGGCGCAAAGAGAAGCGGGCCAAATCTTGGCTTCCCTTCGGCTGGTTGGTTTCTTGAAATCGTTGCAGCACGGGCAGCCTTAAAAAGGATCTCACTTATCCTGAGTTCCTGAACTTTACTTTTTGGCAAGACCATGTTGAGTGGTATGTTCTTGTTTTTTGTTCGGGTCATCCACTCGGGAAGTGAGAGGCAGAAAGAGAGATCCGCCTTTCTCACAATGGAATCCTTGGAAAAGGACAGATGCGCCGTATGTTTGTCTCAACATGGGGAATGAACCTCAAAGCCGGTGGGTTCCTTTTTTGGGTTTCCCTTCAAAGCCACAAGGGGGATCTAGCCAAAAAGACACACCCAAATATATCATTCCGCTAAAATGGCGGTTGTCAGCGCTTTAGGCAGGCCAAGTTCAAGTGAGCTTCGTTTCGGTGGGGTGAGGTTGGAGCTCGGAGCAAATTGATAGTCAACCCCAGGTCGCGAAAGTTGTGCGTCTGTCTTTGGATCAACCCCAAGGGCACCAAAAGGGCTGACTCGCGAAGGGACGAGCCGCGGGAGGTGTCTGACCTGTGTGAACTTCTCCATGGGCACCTAAACCCAGAAGCCAACATTTCAGCTCGTGGGTTTGATCTCATAATAGGGTTGGTAAAAACTGGTAGTTTCGCTTCGCTAGGTCTCCCAGTAGTTCCCTTTTACCCTTTTTGGGGGGAGGGTTCCCCTACTAAAATCGACAACAGAAAAAAGTTGGTACCCTTATTCAAGCCTCTCTGGAGGACCTAATTCGGGTTTTGCTTTCAATCCACCAAGGGTAGCAACTCCAGAAGACATACGGGAGGCTCCAAAGCGACTCCGGAAGCGAGTCCGGTGTCCGTCAAAACCTTCCGGGCCTTTCGGTGCCAAGCTCCAAACTTGTTGAGTGTCCTAAACCTGTGTGGGTTCAGCTGGAAACCCTGGAGCTTTGCGGCTGAAACATCAGCGGGGTGTGTAAGCTGTGTTGGTGAACCACTGCAAAGAGGCGGTGAGAGTGTATTGGCACGCAAGTCATGAGTAAAGCAACAAGTACATCCAAAGAATGGTATTAGAGGCTAAAGCCACTTCTATTCATGTTGTTGGGAATGACCTAGTGTGGATTGCTGCCTTGCTTGAGCCGCAAATGGGCGTTGACGGACAGCTCATCAGCCGTCACCCATCGCTCCCCCACATTTTGCATGCATGCGTGCTTTGTCTCAAGATGTGCACTGGGCCCCCAAAATGGCAATGGTTTCCTTTGTCTTCCCTTTTAGGTTCATCCAAAAAGAGGACACCCACACACACACACATTCCCCATGTTCGGAACATGAGCTTGCGGGTGAGGCAGTTTCCAAGCGAAGTTGTCCATGACCCGCAAGCCAAGCACTTGAGGAAGCCAAAAAGCACGCATGCCGGTGGTACACTTGGAGCTGTGAAAATCATATGGCACCTGTGGGAGGGCGGGGGGGCTGGAAGATCAGCTTTTTGGAGGAAAATTTCCTGTGAGGTGCCATGGTAGTGGCGAGGGTCCTGTGTTCATTTGGGGATCCAAGTATGGCTATGGAGTTGTTTTCGCGGGCTTCAGATCCCATCCAGAGTGTCACCATATTGCGCCCATCGTCAACAGCCACCCAACGGAAAAAGCGTTCCCAATCCCGAACAGCGCTTGTTTGCCCCTTATCTCCGGCCAAAGTATTGGGCTCCATTTTGAGGATCCCCTACAATTGTTCATCCCCTAACCCCCTCCCCCCCCAAATAAGTCCCCAACCCCCCCCCCATCTTGCAGCCCCCATTTTTTTCCAAAGGCCCAATCATGAAGGCTTCCCCACCTCCCCTCAGATGTTCTCTCCCCCTTCCACGCCATACGTTATACTTTCCCTAGTTGGTTTTAAAAGGAATTCATCACTACTGGAAATATTTTGATTTTTCCCTGGGGCCTCAACCAAATGGAAGTTTTGGGGGCCATGTGTTGTCCACCGGTCCCAGGGTGGGCTGGCGGCGGCAGCTGGCGCAGCCTGAGCGCCTGGCCTCCCAGCTGGCGCACCTCAGCGAGGCGAAGCGGCGAAGCGGGGAAGCCGGACATCCCATCCGGTAACCCGCCAGGTTCGTTTGGATTGGTTTCGGAAGGTTGGTGGTTTGGATTGGGAAGGTTTGGGTTTTTTTCACCCTGGTGGTCAAAAATAGGGTAACCCCCACATGGGTTGCCCTGGTAAGTGGAAACATGGACCAAAACTTGCGGTCCAATTCCTGGTGCTTTGATTTTGGCCCATATCCGGTTGGTGGTTTGGGATTTGAACCCCTGGTTCTTGTGGGTAGATGGGAACCCCCTCCTGAACCGTCAAACCACCCATCCAAGCCACCAATTGGAAGGAAGCGGACTTTACATCCCGCAACACCGACTCCAACCGAAAGACCCAGAGATATAAGTGGTTTCCCCGGCGGGTTTCCTCGAGAACACAGGAATGTCTCATTGTTGAGGGCACTCCGTTTCGGTGGCGGTGAACCATCTTAGCGGGCCCCTAAAAAAGACACACCCAGTGCAGCCACAAATCATTGTTCCGAAACACCTCCTGCAAAAGCAATGCAAAAATTATAAAAAAACAATGCGCTTTGGCAGAGTACTGCCCTTGTTCAACTAGTATTGGCAAACTTCCTGAATTTGCCCACAAAAGTAGCGTTGCCAGATTTCCTCTGATCTGGCCATAGTAAGACAGATCAACAGCAGTATTGCTAGACTTCCTGGACTCCAACTCCAAAACAGGGTCACTTGGAATACCAAGCTGAAAGAAAGCAAAATGAATCCTTGATTCCTGGGGATCGAGTTGAGCCTGGGTTCCGATTTACTAATCAGCGGTGACATCAAGCGATTCTCCTTCAGCTTCCGGTCCCTGGCGGAGTCACTTTGACGGATTCGCGGGGTTGAAAGCGTGCCCAAGTTTTTTTGCTGGTGCGATAGGTAGGGAATGCCCTTCCGCGTTTTGGGAATGAACCTAGGAATTCCCTTAAACAAAACCATAGGGGAATGCTTTATCGGGGTCATTCCCTTATTCCCTGCTGAGCAGCAAATTATTCAACTAGGTCCACGTCGCGAGAAGAACAGTGAGCCGGGGTGACACCGGACTCAAGACACGGAAGCTCGACTTCTCATTGAAATGGGCGAAAGAGAGAGAGAGAGAGAGAGAGAGAGAGAGAGAGAGAGAGAGAGAGAACGAGAGAGAAAGAGAGAGAGAGAGAGAGACCCAAGCGTTTCTTTGTCGCGTTGCGTTTCTTTTCGGATGGATGCGGAAAAGACAGTGACCCGGTTTGCCAAACCGGCGACTTGTCACGAACATGAAACCAGGGACGCCATAGAGTGAATCCGACTCCTCACGATATCCGCAGAACTTGTGCCAGCTGGCCGAAACCAGCCGTTGGTTGCGTTGCTTCCGGTTGTGCAAATGCAATGCGTGCGTGTATCAAATCGGTGGTTGCCCCCCCGCCCCCCCCCCCCCCACCAAGAAGCAAAGGATGAGCTGTGTCCCTTCCACCTGTTTTAAAGTGCTGGAATTGAAAAAAACCTATATCATGCAAATGAGTGCAAACCCAGGTGTCCGTTTTATGAGCAGGTCATTCGCTCTTGGGGCCAACACCCCCCATGATCAATCCCTTAAGTTGATTTGTTTATACAGGTTTCAACATTGTCATTCGTCAGTCGCATGTGGGAACACCCTCAGAAATGGTCGCTGACAGCTACCAATTGTAGATTCACAGCCGGATTCTTGACTTGGATCCGGTCCTACTGGTCTTGGACTTTACAGACCTTCAAAGCGGTCACAGACTCTGTTACCCAGTGGTACCCTTTATTCTCTTGTTTTTTTTTGGGGGGGGAAGCGTTCTCCTTTAAACTCAACCAACAAAAGGGTGCACTTTTTTTTCCCATGGCCACTGGGCATCTGAGCATAAAGGTTTGTCGTTTTTTACGGGACCCCTTTGTTTGGTGAGTTGAAAGGGACACCAAAGGAACAACAAAGCACCATTTTGGCGGGGTCCCCTTAAAAAAGACACACCCATTATGTTGTTTGGCGCCAAGACCCCGAGCGTCTGGATTGCAGGACCTGTGTCGACTCCTGGCCTACATCCAGGCACTGCGGTTTTGGCTTGCCATTGGCCCAAAAGAGGAAGACTCAATCCCGGGCAGATACAGGCTAGTCATTGGCAGTCCCCTCACCCGAAAAGGGTGCGGCAGGGCCCTTTTGATTCTTTGACATGTTTATGGGGGTAGATCCCTTCAGTACCAGGCTGTGGTTGTGACTCATCAGTGTTAAGCTGTATGCCTTCACAAAGAAGGTCTGCTTGAATGGTCTAAGTTCGGCATTTGCCGCATGAATCTCACACGGGAAATCCCATAGATTTGCGCATTAGGTCCACCACTCGCGGGTGACTAGCGAGCTTGGTTGTCGTTGTTGGTTGTTGTTGTTCTTCCTTTTTGTTGGTTTGGGGGGGAATTGCCATGCAGTTAGAAGGTTTGTCCCTCTTGGAAAATTGTTTCGGATCCCCATAAAGCCTTGAAGGGCCCCTTGACACTGGGCGTGTTTGGCTTTCTGCGAAGCAGCTCCCAGCACGTCTCCAAACGACCCAACTAGAAGTGCACCCCAAGGGGGATTTACACGTCTTATGCAGAATGTGGCCCTCCTCCACTATCCCTGCTTCATAGTCATTTGCAACCAGCGTTGTTTTGTCTGTTTCGGCTTTACTCTTTTTAGCTGAAGATCAATCTTAGTGGCAAACAAACCGTGTTGGGCCAATCCCTCCACTCACCAAAAAACAAAATCCGGGCGCGCGCGTCTTTCATTTTCGTTAGCCAGCCGGCCGCCGCGTGCCTCGCGAGTTCCTCGTCCCCCGAGCGCGTGGCGCAGATCTCCTCCTTCGATCTGCTGAGCAGCCCGGAGGAGGGCGCGCTGAAGCGCGCCGCCGAGGGCCTGGCCTGGCAGGCGCGAGCTGGGGGCCTCCGGTCCGGAGGTGTCGCTGTCTTGGGCCCCCGCGTTCAGGTGGGTGCGTCTTTTGGGGTTTTTCACAAGGGAAAATACCCGTTTGAGGGGGATGACCCAGCTATTTTGATGTAGGCTCAATCGAGCTGGAGCCAGAATGCTAGCTTGAAGATTGAATAACCAATAGGCATGAGCAAGCGACAGAAGGAGTGGCAGAGACATCGCAGAATGTGTTTCTGGATTGAGCATATAGGAGCTGCGCTGTTGGTTTGCTATGAATGAAGCCAAGACTGCACTTGTCCAACATCTCGCAAGCACGGGTCACGGTGCTTCCCACTTAGGCGGCTCAGACATCACCTTGGCCGGGTTCCATGATTTGCCTTTCTAGCCTTTCCCAGACGTCATGTCCGGCGTTTTGCTACCAAAGCCTGATGGACTCCTTGGAGTATTGCCCATAAACTGACTGCTCCATATGGAACGTGGGCCCAAGATGCTTGGCCCGCTTGAGTCTATGGCTGTGTGCCTTTGGAGGGACCCCGTTTTCTAATGCCGCCATTTTGAGGTCCAAATCCCCATGTTGACACCAGCCCATTGGGCGTTTCTCAGAAATAAGGGCTCCTCAAATGGCTTCCCGTTAGATATATACCAACTAAACGGGGGTCCGACTGTCCTCTCCAGCTGTCCAACCCCCATAACTGCCAGTGCGTTGCTTCACCGCCTTGAATTCGCAGAGTTCACATTCCAACATGTCCAGCAAGAGTCACTTAGCTAGGTCCCCCAGTAGGGCCCTTTTACCCTCGGGAGGGTTCCCTACTAAAATAGGCAGAAAAAAGTTGGTGCCCTTATTCCAACCTCTCTACTGGAGGACCTAGTTTGATACATCCAAAAAGAAGACCTCCCCATTTCCACGGACCCTGCCCTGTGAAGCGCCCATCGATTCCCGCACTTCAGACGCACGTGGCCGCGCTCACCGCCGCGAACCTCTCCAGCCAGCTGGCCCCTGCGGACCGCAATGCGCGGAGGTGCGGCGATCCGCATGGTTGGCCGCCTTTGGGTGAACCATCCAGTGTTGTTGGTGGCATCCCCCAGTTTTTATGAGTTGGTGAACCACCCATTTTTGGATTTTTGTTGGTGTGTTTTCCGAATGCCTGACTCAATGAGGCGATATTGAGTTACCAAAAGGGCTGAGAGGATGTTTCCTTGTGCTGTTCTCCTAGGCCCTCCTTTCGACTAGTTCCGAAAAGGGAACCCAAAGCAAACCTATTAAGACTCCAAGTGCAAACTGCGGCGTCCCTGTATTCAAGGGTCAAAGTCAGATGGCCAGCTAGTTTAGAGCAGCTGGGTCTGCTTCTGCTTGCCATGGAACAAATGCTTCATCTGGAACTGTCCGACAAAACCAATCAATTCTGTTGTTTCTGTTGCATCGCCCGGCGTGTCCTCTTCCAATTTTTGGATGCCCTATGCTTCCAGCGCTCGCCTCGCGGAGCGCGCTTTGTGCGCTCTGATGTGGCAGCGATGGTGTCGTGGGACGCTCCCGGAGGACAGGACGAAAGACCTCCCTATTGTTCGGTGGTACCCTTGTTCCTGTTTAGTTTGGTGGCTTTTCCACTACACATGGTCAAGATATGCAATAGTATGCAATGTAGATCTGCCAAGAAGTCGAGTTGTGCTGGATGGGTTCTTAAGACAAGTAGGACCCTGAAAAAAATGTGGATTTGCTTTGGGTTTCCAGAGAACGCAACTCAGAAAGCGTTCCCGTATTTGAGACAAACCCATGAATTTATCAGCTTCACAAGTTGCAAAGATGCGAACTACACATTTGCCCGTGCATCTTGGGACTTGTTCGAACGACTCAAGATCATCAACAATGACACAATGACAGTATGACTAGGAATAAGGTTTGTTTGAGATTGGAATGGCAGCAGGTTCCTTCTCGTTTCCCTTTTCTTCCCCCATCCAAAAGGTGCGCCTTTTCTGCACCAATCCCGCAGCTTACACTGGATTGGTCCGTTTCCAGTTGCAGCACCTTGGACCTGCTTTTTGTTGATGGATGTTCCTCGCAGATCAAGATGGGACCCAAAGAAGCCCTGATTTTGAGCAGAAACTCCTTAAAGAGGGACCCCTTTCCCCATGTCCATGCGCAAACGAGCGTTTGTAGATCCGTTTGCTCCCCCCACTCGCTTGGGATCGCTTTCGCCGTTCGCCTGCCTCAGGCGCTCAGTCAACCGTCACGTGCCGGCAGCCCAGTGAAGGTATAGTACAATTTTGACGGCAGACATGGTAACCTGGCCATGGGGTCAAAGCCCTAACCCCAGTGAACATCCCAATCCCCACTACAATAGACTAACATGCATGGTGCACCTACCCCAAAATGGTACCATTGGTTTTGACCCACAGCCACCTGGCAACCACATTACACGTATAGGTAACACGTTCTGTCTTCCATACCTATACCCTTCGGGGCACTTTTCCTAGATTCCTTGGGGCGTGGATGTGATGGACAGGTGAATCATTCACAGCGATACCAACGTCATTTGCTCTAGGTACTGCTGTGACTCAAATGACCCAAGGTCAAAGGATGGAAACTCTGGGAAGACTGCTTCAAAGGTGTGTGTGTGTGTTTCTTGAGGGTACGCTTTTGGTGGTTGTTTGAAAGGGAACCCCAAAGGCAACAACCCTTTTTTGGGGCTAACAGATTGATTTTCCCTCTTCGAAAGCAGCTCCAACAAGTGTTCAACAACTCATTCCCCAGTTGGAGGAGGAGGATACTGTTGCTTCGTTCCCCCTTTTGGCCACCTCGTTGCGTGGAGCTTCTGGCCGTCAGGTGGTTCCGTCAGACGTTGCCCGACCAGGCGCTGCGTGTTTTGGCCCATCAGCGTCTTCTCCGAATAGGCGACACCCCAACATGTCTGCCTCCCGGTTTCCCATTCAAAGGGGATCCCTAATTCGTAATAAATGGTCGGACGCCAAAACAAGGGACACCGCAACATTTGGCACAAGGACGGAGGCTTGAGTTGGAACAACCCAGATTTCCAGCATCCCCACGCTCTTCCTCCCACAACCCCCTCTCCCTTCGTGCGCAGCTTATGTGGGTTGTTGTCGGAGAACCAAGGGTGAGGTTTAGGGCAAGGGATCCATTTGGTTCGTGGACGAAGCCTTTCCTATCTTCCCTGCACCAGGGTTTTTCTGCTTGGGCCAGAGTTGATTTGTCCCATGTCCTGCGAGTGGCCAAGAAAGTATCTTTTTCAAGTCACAAAAGAAACCATCTCGAAAGGGGAGCCGGGGTGTTTCACGTTTATGGCAACTTCCACCAGGGGATGTTACCCAAGAGCCCAACCAATTCCATGGCTTCAGGCTATAGACTCGTCGAGACTCCAGGGAAATCTAAATATAACAATCAATTGACATATGGCTGTGGCACAAAAAAACGGTACCAAAATGGAACCCTGGTAAGTGGAAACATGGACCAAAACCTGCGTAACCCCTCCTGTTTAATTTTGAGCCACACCCATATGGGAAATTGCTCATCATTCCGTTCAGTAGGTACGTTATGCCTGGTACGGTAGTTCGTCCCGCATGTCCTGATGTCCGCCTTCGATTAGCAATTTCAGATTGAATCAGAGGTGGTCCCTCTTTTAGTTGTGGGACATCATCTATTCTGGGGTCTCCTCCAAAACACAATTATATTTGCGGGACTAAACCAATAACAGAGCCAGAGCATCTTTTCTGCGTTCAGATGTGGCCCAAGAATCCTATCGGGTTTCCCAAGAAGTGGCTTCAAGGGGCCGTCAGCTTCCATGGAGGTCGCGGCACTTCCGGATAGGCGGGCCAGTGGGACATGGCGAACGCCCCCGGTGATGGGAAGCTCTACGGAAACCAGAGACACTAGGAATCGCCAAGCCCGGTTTGCTTAGTTTGTCTTTGAGGGGAAGCCGGGGAGGCATTTGGAGAGGATAGCCCTTGAGAAGCACAGCTTTTGAGAACCCAACTGATGGGCACTGAAGGCCTGACCATGGAAGGTGTGCAATTCAGTGGATAGAAGAAGCAGATCGGCGAAACAGCAAGGCCCCAGCGGTTCGGATCGCTCTTTGCCCTTATTGGATCATCAACCTTGCAGGCGACAGGCAAGCTATTCAAAACTTGCTCCAATGTGGCAAAGAACACTCCGTAGTGTCAGATTTTGTTGGCTTCAGATCTGAAGGTTTGTTTGTTGCTGTTTGGCAATGGATGATGAACAATCCTTGCAGCCAGTTGTCAACGTACCCCGTGCTCCTCGGGATTTCGCGATGGCGTATCCCGTTGCCCGGGGTGGGCCGGGAGAGAGGGAGGGAGACTTTCTCCTCCACAACCCCACGGCATCCCACGGCTATCAATGGTTGGTGAAGTGACCTCTCTGCATGAAGAGCATCCTCAGTTCTTCAGTGGCACCCTTTTTCCTTCTTTTTTTTGGTGGCCGCCCCACTAAAAATGGTCCAAGCCCCAAAAAGGGGTCACCGAACAACTGAGCATCTGACCAGCTCTTGGGGTGGTGGCTGTTGCAAGCTCCAGGAAGAATGCCGAGGTCTCGGAGGAGGCGGGCGGGCTTGCAGTTGAGTCATTGGTTATGGCCGGAAAGGCGGGTTTCTGGTGTCGTGAGGGAAGCAAACTCAAAAAACCGGAATTCCATAATGGGTTGCCCGATCGGTAAGAGGAAACATGGACCAAAACCTGCGGTTTGCCCCTCCTGTTTAATTTTGAGCCACAGCCAGATGGGTGTCCTACTTTTACGGCCAGCCCCTGAGGTTTGCCTGCGCCACGAACCAACGCCCCGACACAAAAACCCGAAACCTAAACCCTAAAACCCATAAATCTAAACCCTAAAAACCCTAAACCTCAACCCTAAAAACCAGAAACTTAAACCCTAAAAACCCTAAACCTAAACCCTGAAACCCTAAGCCTAAACCCTAAAACCCTAAGCCTAAACCCTAAAAAGCCCAAACCTGCTTGCAGAATCCTTCACCCTAAAACCCTTAAACCTAAACCCCAAAAACCCTAAACCTAAACCCTAAAACCCTAAACCAAAACCCTAAAGAACCCAAGACCTGCCTGCTACCCATGCGCTCGTGGTACAACGGGCCCACGTTCTGAAGAGAACGCAGGTCACCACTTGTCAAGGTATGGCTGCACGAGCTCTGCTACTTAAGTAGTAAAGGGTGCCATGCTTGAACCACGTGCTGGACAAGGGTGGATTAGGGGGTGCCGGCAAACCACGGGGGCTGTGGGTACTTTTAGTCTCTATCCAACCTTGTGGCTAGCCTTTTAGTCTGTACCTACAAGCATTTGTTGTCTGGGCTAAAGCGTTAACCGTAGGTGGTCGCTTGTCTTGACTCTTAATAAGTATCCACTTGGGCCACCATTTTGGCTCAAGTGGACCTTTTGATCTTTTGTCTTGTGATTTGAAATCTTTCTTTCCCCTACTCTCAAAGCCATGTACGCCCCCGCCTACGCTGGTGCCGCGGTAGCAGAGGCCAAGGCTAAGGCAAAGGCCTCCATGGCAAAGTACCTGGCGAGCCTCGTGAAGAGGGAGGAAGAAGGATGGACCGTTTTGGCTGCTGAGGTCCCTCAGGCACCTGACGAGCGTTTCTTCTCCAGCGCAGATGAGCTGGAGCAGGCCCCCCTTATCCCGGCCAAGCGCAAGGCAGAGGATGAGCCGATGGAAGATGCAGCCCCTGGGGTGGCGCAGGTGCCGAAGGCCCTGACACGCCCCCCAGGGGCGTTCCTGGAGCTCCTGAACCCGCCGGAGGAGGACGTGCCCATGGAGGAGCTCCTGGCGAAGGACGAGAAGGAGCTGCCGATGCCCAGGTCCCCCTCGGCTGCAGCCCGCTTGGAGGAGGCCCGCCTGGATGCCCGGGCAGACGCCAAGTGGCAGAGGCGCCGGGAGCTGATGGCGAAGGTCAAGGAGCAGGCGTCCTCGGAGGAGGATGAGAACCCCGCAGCCCCCCCGCCGGGGGGGAGCGTGTTCACCAAGGCCCTCAAGGTCTCGGAGGGCCTCTACCAGTTCAGCGACGACCAGATGGCGGGCGACTTCCCTTGCTTCGATGCGACCACGGCCACTAGGCTCCGCCGACTGCAGGCCAAGGACGTCCAGCGGCTCCTGCGAGGCTTTGAGGGCCCCCAACTCAAGCAGGGGGGCCTGGAGCGCGTTGTGGAGGCCTTCTACATCGCCAAGATGAAGTACGAGCATGAGGCCCGGCTCAGCACCCCGGGACAGCAGGTTGGCAAGCGCGCTGGCTTGGGGTACGGGGGCCTGGAGAACCGCCCCCTGGGCAAGGTGCCCACATCCTGGATCTGCCCCTGCTGCACCATGCCCTGGGTGAAGAAGGGCGCCACGAAGTGCATGGGGTGCGGCAAGAAGACGGAGCCCATTGACACGGCGACCAACTCGGCCACCCTGGAGATGGCGGGCACGCATTGGCAGTTGACGGTGGATGACCAGGGCAATGCGGTCTGGACGGCGGCCCGGTCCGCGGGTGCCGAAGGCCCTGACACGGACCGGGCCCGCGACCTCAAGCTCAGTGCCTCGGTGGACGTCAGCGAGCTGGCCACCGACCCGATGGCCTGCGAGAACCCGGACCAGGCCAGCTTCTCGGACTTCGTCCCCTCCTCGGTCCGGGCGGTGATCAGGAACTGCCCCATGGAGCTGGACGAGGAGTTTCTGACGGCCCCACCGGGGGAGAGGCCCCCATTGCCAGGCGACAAGGAAGAGGGCCAGGAATGCAGAGCCTTCCACCCGTCTGCGGTGAAGGCCTTCAAGATTCAGACCCGGCTCAACGCCAGGAGGAGGCCAAGAAGGCGGACCAGGTGGAAGCGGTGGAGCGCTCCGCGGCGGTCCTCCACGAACTTCAAGGGGGGGCCATTGGCGGAGGAGGTGATGTAGGCCTGCTCCTGAAGAACCTGGACTTGGACCTCTTCCGTGAGAAGCTGCTGGACAAGCTGGGTGCGGACTGGGGGAGACCCACACCGGAGCTCCTCCAGGCCCAGACCACTGCGGAGGAGGCGAAAGCGAAACACCAAGCCAGACAGGCGAAGGGCTCCCTCGAAACCAGAATGCTCGAGCCCATCGCGCCTCCCTTCAGTGCGTGGCCTAGTGAGGTCCGGGTCGCCATTGAGACTGGGGTCTTCGAGCCGACAACGGCATGGAGGGACTTCAGTATGCCTACCTTGAGGCCAAGGCGGTCATCTTGCTGGGTAGGAATCCCTTCCCGGCGGCCCTCCTGTCAGATCTGCCGGACCTGACAGGGATCCCCATGCCAAAGGCGGGGGGCTCTGGTGCGGCGCGCCCAGGTGCCGAGGGCCCTGACAGGCCGCCCACCATGCCTCGGGCTGGCGTGACGAGCTAGGTGCCAAGGGCCCTGACAAGCCGTCCGCCACCCCGGTGGGCCTGGACACCAAGGACCCGGAGGTGCAGCTCTCGGTCCTGCGCTGGATAAACGGGTCGGAGAGGTCCGTATCTTTGCGGGCCGCTGGGTCCGACGAGGGCCCGGTACACGTCCCGGATTGGGCGAAAAACCTCACCAAGGTGAATCCGGAGGCGTTGGAGAAGGGTACGCATCCCAGGAACCACCAGGTGGGTGGACTCCCCTGGGCCAGGTACTCCGTTGATGAGTTGCACCAGCAGGCGAAGGCGGGGGACCGACCCTACCCTGGGACCTGCGATCCATCTTTTGGGCTGCCCCCCACGATCCGGATGAGGACTTCCACTGGACGCGCCAGATCTCGTCCTGGACACTCCCAGGCCTACTGGGGATGTTCGGGCACAGCTACACCCTGCGCCAGCTCTGGGGAGTCTGGGAGTCTCTGCCACTGCTGCAGGGCCCTAGGCAGCGGGGCCCGAAAAACAAGGCCCAGAATCAGACCCGCCTGGAGGGCTGGGAGACCCTGAAGGAGGACGCGCGGTGCTTCCTGAAGGAGGAGGGCCTTCCGTTTCCGCAGACAGGACCGGAGTGGCGATTGGTCTACCGGGCCATGGGCAAGGTCCTCGCGGCCCGGGCCTTCCTCACGGACACCCCGGCGGAGGTGATGCAGCTCCCGGTCCAGGACGTGGCGGACTCCAAGGAGCAGATGATCCTGCGGGCGGTATGCGACGAGCGCATCTCGGTCCCGGTGGAGAGCCTCCAGCAGTTCCCAGAGGTGTACAAGGCCCTCATGGACCGCATTGGAGGCCCGGGGGCCCTGGCGGAGGTGAAGGTCAACTGGCGCTGCAACACGAAGCAGTGGTGGGTCGGCGCAGTCCCCGACTCAGTGGCCCCCTCCATCTACCGCAAGCTCGGCTACACCAACGACATGATCAAGCTGATGGGCCTGGACCCCTCCGCCCCTGGGTGCCGGACAGGTGCCGATGGCCCTGACATCCGCCCCAGGGGAGGCGAGGGCGATGAGGGGATCGTTTACCCCCCCATCATGGCGGACAACGTCCACGGCGTGGTGGGTAAGGACTACCGGAAGAAGAACTATCCGGTGGAGATGAAGCATGTCTTCTGGGCGCACATGGAGTGTGGCCTGGTCCTGAGCTCCGTCACCCCGTGGGAACTCATCCCGAAGACAAAAGGGGAGACCCGGGGGGGCTACATGTGCAAGTATTGTAAGGGGTACTGGCGTGCCGGGGGAGGGGGCACCCGCCTCCTCCAGATCCGGGCCGGCAAGGCCATCTTGCAGCTGGTGTTGGACGAGCCGCCGGAGGGCCTCTACAACCGCTGGGTGAAGGAGCGGCTGGAGTACTACCGCCGGGTGGAGCCCTCGGCCCCGTTGCGGGACGTCTCCATCGTGGACCAGAAGGTGCCCAGGTTCAGATTCAGCCAGACCACCCAGACAGGCCACGTCTCCAATGCCATCTGGGAGCTGATTCTGCGGAATCCGGAGGCTGCTGCGCTCAAGCGCATCGATGACATCGCGAAGGGGGCCGCGTGATGATGCGGGACAACGCCATCTTCCGGCACACCATCCAGGACCGCGGCCATCCGGAACGGATGCGCAGCGCACCCCGGGGGGGGGACAGCTGCCGAAGGCGCTGATATCCCCCCCCAGGGAACAGCGCAGGCCCAGACTTGCACCAGGCGAGGAAAATTGGCGCGGCTTGGGCTGATCCGGGGTGCGCCTTGGTTCCCCTCTCTTGTTTGGTTTTCCCTTTTCGGGGCGGCTCCCTGGGTCCCCCTTTTTCCCCCGTTTCCTCCGTTTCGGGGTTGACTTTCCGGGGTTTTGGGGGGCCCCCTGTTGTTTGGTTGGGGTTTGCACCTAGGGACTAGGCCCCCGGCTCGAGTGGATCATGATGATGTGGAGGCCCCGCCTCCCTTCCCCGTTTGGGACGACCTTCCTAGGGGCGCCAACCGCGCTCCAGTTGATTTTGCATGACCTTGGATTTGCACCAGTGCAGTCGGACGGGGAAATCCTCGTGGCGTGCTGCCTGGAATGGGTCAAAAAGGACAAGGTCGCCAACCCGGATGCGGTGGTCTTTGACCCGCGGCCGTGGACACGGATCGTGGGGCTGGCACCTGACGGCAACCACGTCCTGGTGGCCTCGGACACCTACAACTTGAT